AGGCGTAGACATGCACCTTCTCAGGACTTCCTTCATGTTGACCACCTGAGGGAGCATTCCCTCACCTCCTCCTTCATCCTTAAATGTATGGAGACTCTCAGAACTGGGCATGTCCACTATTTGGACTATTCCTATATTGGCACCGGAAGGTGGGTCTTCATCTACCGAGTGGAAGGAGAGTTGGAGTCTCCAGGGATCCCTGAGTCTGAGACTCTTGATGCATGTTATGCCGGGACAGAGCTGAGCTGTTTAAAGCATGCACATTTATTGGTTAATTTGGTCTCTTGATCTTCAGTAGTCTCTTCCTCAGTAGACCCTCTTCCACTTGAGGTTTTTGAGTTTCTTGAAGGGTTTGGGATATCCGTTCTTCCCCACATGTGTAATGGTTCTTGTAAATCTTGGAGGTTAATACCGCTGTGAAGGTTGTCACATGTTGCTTCTAAAGAGTCAGTCTCGTGGTTGAGGTTAGCAGACAAGGAGGTCGCCTTCTTTCCGGCATTCTCTTTGTACCTGTACCTTAGAACAATGCAAATAAAGTAAATCGGTACAGTACTCTGCCTGAACTGTAAAGCAGCCAGAAACACATGCAGAGGGGACCATGTTGTGTTAAGTTTTTGTAATGAGCATGCAATTACAGCCTTTTGAAAACACTGCCAATATGTCCCGAAACAAAGAAAAACAAATCTGCTTGACAGGCTTATTAAAGTGAACTAAAACTAAAAAAAAAACTTCAGATAGTTACCTTGGCAACATTTCCAATTTTCATTTAGTTTAACCTGACTAAATTATCTAAAACTAAAACTAAAAAAAGGCTATATTTAGACTATATTGACAAAAAAAGACAAATGATAAAAATGTTTAACTGTCATTAAAATGAAAACGGAAAATAGAAAAAAACTGTGTTCATGTTTCATAATCATCATTCAAACACTGCTTCATCATCCTCATCATGTTATCCTACAGATTTCTGTTATTGTTTTTGATGATCACCTGCCCATCACACTCTGTGAGCAAGCAAACAGTGACTTCTGAAAGCATTTACTATGCACATAGTCCTATTCCAACCAATTACAATTCTACAAACAATATAAACTGAGCAAAAATGCATTGCTTACTGTATCATTTAAGCATGAAAAGAAAAGAAAACAAATAATGAACAGAGCAAACGTTCAAAACATGCATGTAGAAGGAAGTAAATAGTGGTCTGTGAATGATTTGGCTGCTGATTTTCTGGAGAGATGAGTGAGCTGCAGTAGTAGGTTTAGGGGGATTCAGGCAGACGGAAGTCTCACCTCTGAGAGTAAATCTGGACCGGATCTCTCTGTCTAGTCGAGTGGAGGTGCTGATCTGACCAGTGTGGGAGTTTATCGTAAAGAGCTCATATGCAGGACCGGGTAACAAGCTGTAGCTAACAGCAGAATTCACCTCTGTGGGAAACACACACACACACTGACTGGTCATCAGATCTGAATATTTGTTTGTCTACAACAAGTTACCCCAACATTTTCTGATTATGATCGCATGACATCATGACAGAGAGTTCTACTACTCTGTATTAGTATCACTGTATTAGTAATTGCCTTTTTAATGTGTGCTTTCCTTCACTTTTGTGTTGCGGCCACCAACAAATACAGGAGTGATGAGTGTTTGACAGCCGAATGAGGTCTGTTTACCGTCTTGTCTGGCAAAGTGCTATTTCTGAGCTCCTTATCTGATCTCTGAATTGAAAACAGTGCTAAAAGGAAAAAGTCTGCTACATTTAACAGCACTGCAAAGAAAATACAAAGCAAAAGTGGGGAAAAAAGGCAAAAAGAGCTGACTGGGTGTACAACCAACACACTGGTGGAGAATTTAGATTTGTGGTCACTGAAGAGCAGAAATGTGAAAACAGACACGCACACTATCAGACAAAAACACAGACACTCATTCAGACACTCACAGATACACACATATGGTTTCATACGGGTTTGAAAAACTTTCTAAGTAATGCTTTATTTTGATTGTCCGCTTTAGACATTCTACTAACTGTAAGTAACTTTGCAACCATATTTCAACTAGCAGTCATTAGAGTATTAGTAGAATCATCATTCAAAAGAGTATTAGTAGTATGTTTAAAATCAGCTAACACAAGTAACTTTGCAAGTACATCAACTTACTTTTACTTATGCTTACTAATACTTTAATGAAAGTTAGTTGACATGTAGTTGCAAATCAATGAGAGTTAGTTGACATGTAGTTGCAAATGAATGAGTTAGTTGACATGTAGTTGCAAATGAATGAGAGTTAGTTGACATGTAGTTGCAAATGAATGAGAGTTAGTTGACATGTAGTTGTAAAGTTACTTGTAGTTAGTATAATATCCAAATAAAGTGTAACTAACCCCTTTCTACAATTATCAGTACAGAAAAGTTGAAAAAAATTGAATTCATGTTGTGAAATCGTTAAGTTAAAAGTAATAATGTATTCGCTAGTGTGCACATCTCAGTCAGAATTGTTTTATAATTTTTTATTAATTATTAATTCATAAATACCATCATGTTTTTGGGGACACACCAGAGGCAATTTAGAACCCAAACTAACCTTGCCTTGACAAATTATCTGAAAATTTTAAGTGTTCTGTATTGACTTTTGTTAAAACTGCATTTTAGGCTTACACCACACTAATACATGTTAAGGCTTCTTTTTTCAAGAATTTGATTCTTTTAATTAGGCTTTTTTTTATATGATGTGAGTTGTATCACCTTCGTGCTGGCAAAAAATATCAGCATGAATTTTAATTCAAAATCTAAAAATATGCTGTATTCAAGACCGTCAGTATGCATTGTAATTGTAGCATATTTATAAATAAATTAATAAATAGGACAAAAAACAGAGTGTCACGTCATTGACCCACACACACACTCAAACAGCAACCCATACGCTGGAGACTTCACCAGCAGCCGCAAACATCATATATCAGCTTTATTAGTGCACTAAAATCACACTGCATTAATGCAACCGTAAGAGATAGTTGAATCAATTACTAACAGTATCAATCTTCATCTGATGAACATTTGGCACAGTGGTTTCATGGGGCTTTGTGAGGTTTTAACGTAATGGAAGATAAAATCAAAGAAAAGCTATAGACCACACTGCTGAATTCTGGGAGAAAAAATAACCGGCCTTTTTTAGAACAGATGGCTTGAGTTTCAATTTCAATTTCAAATATCCTGCAGAGTCCTGACTGCAGCTCTAGGATAACGTCAGAAAGCAGAGACCGGCAGACACTGATGCTGCGGCTGAGGTATTTTAAAAGGGCCTGCTAGATTTGTGAATATTTGGACTAGGTACAAGACGCACACAATAACATACGGCGTGCGAAAGAGAACCCAAAGACCCGTTGATTTATGCTAGCAATCAAGTTCGACGAAACGTAATTCAGGTGAATGTATGTTTTTAACAGCAGTCTGCTAACTAAATAAAGGACCAAGGCCATCCGGACCTCCAGACTGAAATCACGAGGGACCAATATGAAAGAAATCCATTTTAAGTCACTCACACTGACATGTTTTGCAAGGACTTGCTACTGTTAGAGAAATGTGTAACATGGAGCAGTAAGCAGTGTTGGGGAAAGTTACTTTTAAAAGTAATGCATTACAATATTGCGTTACTCCATAAAAAAGTAACTAATTACGTTACTTAGTTACTTTTTATGGAAAGTAATGCGTTACGTTACTTTTGCGTTATTTTTTAAATCTGGACAGGGCTTGCTTGTTTGTTTTTAAATTTAAAAAGTTATATTTCTGGCAAATATAAAAGCCTTTTCACACCAAAAGTGAAATGAATAAGCCTCAGGCTGAAGGGAAAGTACAGTAGAATGCAGAAGAACACACTTCAGCAATAAAAAAAGACACAAATGTTCGTCTAGAGTAATGTGTGTTTATTAGTACGCTTGAACTGGATCATCGAAGCTCAGAAACAAATAGAATGGGATTAAATACATAAAGCATATTTGTGTTGTTTAACATTTAATTATTGCAGGTTTGCGTCATATTCTGAGTTGCGTTATTTTTATTCATTTTGAGGAATACTGAATCTGTGTTTTTTGTTTTTTGTGTGAGAGATGAATTAATGCATATTCATATTTATTTTAGAACTACAGTAACATCTTCTGATTTCTGTCACCATGGCGACAGGAGAGCTGTCAATCAATAAACTGGGGGAAAAAAAGTTACTTGCGTTACTTATTTGAAAAAGTAACTCAGATATTCTCTTGTAAATTAAAAAGTAATGCATTACTTTACTAGTTACTTGAAAAAAGTAATCTGATTACGTAACTCGCGTTACTTGTAATGCATTACCCCCGACACTGGCAGTAAATGATAATAATATACTGTCTTGATAAAAAACTATAGCTATATACTATTCAAATCAAACTACACAAACTGTGTATGTATACTGACATTCATGTAAATGTTTTTTCAAAAGCTAAACGTTGATTAAGAGAATAATAAGGCAAACTTAATGCAGGCGATGCATGCGAGACAACATGATTAAAATTCAGACATTAAGACAATTATAATTTACCCATTAAAAAAAGCATAGAGGAAGCTTTAAGGAATGCTGCATGATGTAACCATGCTGCCATCATGTGGAGATTTCCGCAGCAGTTTGACTACCAACTGGTATTTCATTGGTAGTACATGTTTGAGTGCATTGTGAAATATTTCTCATCATGGGTTTTTTTGAGGTGGTGACGCTGATCTCTCTGGGTTCTCTGTTCTCCATGACGGTGGTGTTGTAAATGTGCTGCTGGAACAATGCAGGATTGTCATTAACATCCAAGACCTCCACTGTGAGAGTCTGAGTGGAGGACAGAGAGGGGCCTGGACAGTGGACTCATAATCTAGACAAGAATTCAGGTACAGATGCCCTGCAAAAGAACAAGAGAGAAATATTAGCCGTTTCTCATCATTAGCTCATCATTAACCCATACTCAAGAACGCAAGTACAGAGGATGCATGAAAGTGGCCGGATGTGTTCTTGATATCGAGGATGCATCGAATGCAGACTTGAGAGAATCGAACCGTTCCCAGAAGACGTGGATGATGTACGGAAGCCTGTAAGCCAGATCTGTGTGTAAGTGTGTACTGCTGTTCAAAGGTTTGGGGTCACTAAGATTTTTTATGTTTTTTAAAGTCGTTCCTGCTGCATTTATTTGATCAGAAATACAGTAAAAATTGTGAAATAATATTTCAGTTTAAAACAGCTGCTTTCTATGTGAATGTGTTAAAGTGTAATGTATTTCTGTGATGTGCAGCTGTATTTTCAGCATCATTCCTCCAGTCTTCAGTGTCACATGATCTTCAGAAATCACTCTAATATGCTGATTTATTATCAGAGCTGGAGACTGTTGCTGCTTCATATTTTATTGGAACCCGTGATACATTCTTCAGGATTCTTTGATGAATAAAGAGTTATCCAAAATTGCAAATCCTTTGTAACAATATACACTACCGTTCAAAAGTTTGGGGTCAGCACGTTTTCTTTCTTTCTTTCTTTCTTTCTTTCTTTCTCTTTTTGAAATAAATGAATACTTTTATTTAGCAAGGACGTGTTAAATTGATAAGAAGTGATAGTAAAGCCTCAGTCAAACCAAACTGTATTCAGTGACCTTCAACATTTCTCACATTATATCACAGTTTATTCGCTGAAGTTTAGAAAATGGTCATAAAATATGACGAGACTGTGTCAGAACAAATTCATCCTGATAATGTCAGATATCACTTGTTCAGGTCAAAGTGTCTGAATAATAGTTTTGCTGGTAGTCCACTGTATGAAGAATTTTTGGGGTATAATATGTCACAGTTTACTTTCTTTTGCTCTCCTCACTTACATAAATGAACTACAGTGTCCTGCACACACATCAAAAATTATATCTGTGTCTGAATAATTTCTGGCGTGACTGTATATTGTTAGAAAAGCTTTCTATTTTGGACGAATGCTGGATATTTTTTAACTTCAATTGAAAAACGAGAGACAGCAACTCATTCTAGTGATTGCCAACGAATGGTAGTTTGTCTATAAAAGTGTCTTTGACCTTTAGAATAACTTCTGAAAAATGTTAATGCATTTTAATACACAAGTCCCTATTATGATGACACATAGCACTTTGTAGAGATGTCACAGTCAGACTATAGGACCCGGTTGAGACACAGTATCAGAAGCAGCAATAATCGAACACAAATAGACACAAATGAACATAATTATGTCCTGCAGAGCAGTAACAACAAGCCTTTTATAAATGTACTTAATACGCCTAACAGTTTGAGACCCCACACTTATTTTCAGACCTAAATAATTAACTAATTAAACATTTCAGAGTGTTTACACTTTTTATTACCAACTTTACTTTACTGGCTTTAATAGATAATCAGATCAGAATAACACAACTAACATAATGTTGCTGTATAAATGTGTGCATTTCTTATAAATCAAGCTTATTTAGCGTCATATTATTATTATTATTATTTTTAATTGACCAGAACAGAATATACAACAGTATTTGTACATAAAAGCATGCCGGAGTGCACAAAAAATGGATTCATTATTCATTATTAAGTCTTCTTTGCTTTTTTATTAACCATGTTCTTCAAAGCGGTGGATCCTGGACGCTTCTTCTTATGCATGTGAAAATCCCCAGAAGTTATACAAGTAAAATACAAGTATTATTATTACTTTCATTGGAATAATACATGCATTTATCAAAATTATTTAACTTGAATATAATATTTGTTTTCTTTCTAATGACATTTTCCATATAGAAAATCCTTGTGTATACACAATTACAAAAATAGATGGACAATAGACTCTTTTCCCACTGAACAAAAATCATAATATCCTAATTAAATCACATTTTTACCATGTACAATTTTAAACAATACGCCTTAATTGCAACTTATTAGGTTATATTTTTGTTTACATATGGTTCAAATACGTTTTTTGTTTACACATGATTCAAGTCTATAAATACTGCAGTTGAACTACGGTCACTTTAGTAAAACCATGGTTCATTTTCATCAGGGACTGCCAGTGACCGGCTGTTGCATGCATGAAATGCAACATTTTTATTCTGACAGTGTATGATTTCTATTAACATTACAGAATAGAACACGATCAATATTATCTTTCAACGTTCAATTTAAATAACTGTAATTGCACAATCTACGTAGGCTACAATTTCAGTTTGTTTATGGTGAAATAACTCTGTGCTTCTGTCCTCTGATAAGCATTGTTCAGGGCCGCCGTTCCCAAAAGCTTTAATGCTTTCTTATGATACTTTTGGGAAACGCAGGCCTGTTTGAATGCACTGTCGGCAGTGAGTGAACGCTCTCTGTGAGTAATTAGTTCTGTCTTGCAACATTTGCGTGTTCAGATGAGCAGGAAAATAGTTCTATCCTACACAATTACTCGCTAACAAATTATTCGTCCAATTCAATGCATATTGTATGCATTATTATTATAATTTTTTTGTTGAATTAACAAAATCACTGGTAAGTAAGACTCACCTTAGTATCGATATTTTTTGTTTGAGTATCGATACTTTCGATACTCGCGTCAGTATCGATATATCGATACTTTCCCTACAGAAAAAATGAGCCGATATGGGCCGATACCGATATGGTGGCCGATATATCGTGCATCCCTACTGCTAACGCAATGCTCTACCACTGAGCCACAGGAACATATTTTCCATTCATTGTTATTAATAATATGAAGTGCATTAAACAGTACATCACTGGGATTTGTGAGTTTCATTAAAAGCTAACATTTAACTCATAAAAATAAAATCATTCAAAATAAAACACATATTACTAGAAAAATAATATTTTATTTGTTTACTGCATGTCACGTGACCACACCCAGAGCACCGAGAACATGCAAATCTGATACTTTATTATTAAAATGTTTATTTTGCATGTAAATATATTAGGCGAAAGAGGACCAGATGACAAAAAAAGTTTGTGAATTTGTGCATTTTAATGTGTTTGAACGACAAAAGCCTTGGAAACACACGGTTAAATAACCAACTGAGTGATAATTCTGATAAAAGCTAATGTTTCATCAGCGTTTCGTGCAATGTTGAAACACTTAAGCCTGAAATTATTTTTTTAAAATGCGGTGGTCAAATGCTACAAAACTGAAATATTATAAAGTGTATATAAGCAGTAGGCTATTTTAGAAAGGAAAATTTAAAAGGAATTACTGAGAATCAATAAATTGAGTAATTGATTGCTATTGTGTAAATAAGATGTAATCCACACAAAAGTAACTGTAGTCTGATTACAAGTATTTTAAAATGTAATCTAATTACAAGTACTTAATTTTTTTAATCTGATTACGTATTCCAGTTAAACGACTAGTTAATACCACTTATGCTTTACCGCTAAACGGTATGAAAATCGCGATTATATTGACCCACGTTATCACGGTATTGTTAAAAAGTACTGACACATAAATCGTTTCGCCAAGTTTTATATTTAAAATCAACTAACAACAAATGTTTGCATAAACCCTGAAACAATAACATTACCGTTTAATTGAAACAAAGTAAGAATCTGATGTGAAAGACGACACGTTTAATAAGGTTAGGGGGGAAAATGACCATTTATAAACATCGTGGGAATCTGTTTTGTTACATACAGCAACTATTTCTCCGTCTTTCCAGTCACCGAGCACTTTACTTTGAGAGTTGTTTAAGTGAGAAAATCCGTAACTTAGTCCAGATTTGGGGGAATTGTAATGTTTAATCATTTATTTTATTATGCAAATAGTTTTTGCATTGAAATTTGCATAGACGTTTGTTTGCACATGCTGTCAATTATAGTTCTTGGAAAGAAAATTGCGATCGGTGCATCTCTAAACAAAATGCCATCGAATGCTTTCTGAAGAAGACCGTCAGGAATTTTATCATGATTTATCGTCAAACCGGTAATTGTTTCATCCCTACCGCCTTGTGTCTTTAGCTACAAGATGAAGATGGCAGTGAAGATGAGAGCGGAATACAAACCTGTGTTGCACATGCCTGTGCTGAAAGAGGGCCGAGAGCGAGGGCCGCTCCACGCCTCGGACCCTTACGGCCCGCTGGGATACCCGCTGTCTGGTGCGCCTCTTTCTTTTTGCTGATTTACACAAACCGAATGGCGGCGGCAACAATACTACAGCGAGAATAAAAGTTACGCTTTCTTTCTTTGCGTGAACATTTGGGCGGCGTTATGCAAATCTTCCCACATAGTGACGTAGACATGTGGGGGCGTGTTAGAACGAGCCGTTTTAGGTAGGTGTGGCTGACTCTGAACTTTTATAAAGAATATCTCTTTGGATTTGAGACTTTAGTCTTTGCAACTTTACAGATCTTCTTTATGCACCAAGAGCTTGTAACACTCCGAAGAGAACGGAAAACTCGCATCATATGACCCCTTTAATGTTGCTTTAGTGACTAAACAAAAAGTTTGTTAGTGAAATAGCAACACTGACTTCTCAGTTCGCTGTAATTGTTGTTCTTGATTTATTCAGATGCTAGTCCAGATTATTTGGTGACCGGAACTCATCCGTATCCATCTGCTCCGGGTAAGAGCGTTTAATCCTGCGAGCATTTAAATCAGTTACACAGAACTGGCCTAATGGAGTTTTTTTTCCTCCTAATGTTTTCAGGGGTGGCCCTCACTGCAGATACACAGATGCAGAAGATGCCCAGTGAAGCAGGTGTTCACTCCATGGCTCTGGCTCTTCCTCCCGCTCAAGCAAGGTGAAAAGCTAAACGCACATCCTTCATAACTGATTCTAAATTCTGTGTCTTTTTAATATCCTGATGAAATTGCGAATTGCGAATAAAAAGGGCTTTCAGGATTGCTGTGCTTGTTTCTGTGGCCCAAGTGCATGTTATTAGCGACTCCAATGTGGAGGTGAGCTTGTGTGCGTTTACTGCAAACCTCTGATGGCTGCTCGAGTTTTAAAAGAACACAATGTAGCTCTCATGCTCGGTGGTTCGAAAAACGCATTATTTTTTCATATAATTTACATTATTACAATACCTTTCTCCCCAGGCTGGCACAAACGGCTCGATTAGTTCCGGCTTTGATGAAGCTCCGCCTTCCGAAAAACAAAATGTGTTGTGATTGGTTAGCTGTCCCAGTGCGTTGTGATTGGCGAACAGCTTAGACGGTGTTTCAGTACTGCCGCACCTCTTGCTCCGTCTTTCAACAAAAGCTTTTGGGAATCCGGCACTTCACACTCGTGATGTGGCAGCTGTCTTCAGTACAATGCGCAGCACACAATAGCAAATTGGGGTTATAATGCTCAGGAACAGAGTT